TGCATAAAATTTACTTAGAAATGCAACAGCTGTCACTCTTTTTGTTTTAGGTACCCTAGAGTCCACAACTCGTGGTTGCCATGAGTTATGATCAGCAGATCTAAACATGTCGTACTTGTGCCATCCTCATTATCTCTGCCATGTGAGTCCTTTGTAGCTGTCACTGTGCCACATCATCTCCTTGAGCACCATGTCTGTCTATCTCCTAGAAAGTCCTCCTGTCTTTCACTGACCCTCTCCCTTTTCCAGCATGATGATATTTCTGGGGACTAGTCCCTTCTTAATAAAAGCCAGATCAATATTACATCATTCTAGGCCATAAGATTATCTTCTTTCTTTCACTAAGCAGTTTGTTTTGATAGATTATGCAACTCTGACAGTGATAAGCAGTTGGCAGTAATAAGCCTCTAATGGCCTGTGGTTTGAGTCCATCAACTGCTTTGTGGGAGAAAGTTGTGCAATCTGCTTCTTTAATGGTTATAACTTTGGAAACATTGTGAAGCAGTTTTAATCTGTCTTATAGGGTGACTATGGGTTGAAGTAAATTCAACAGTGATGGATTTGGTGTGCTGTTGGGTTTCAGACATATGAACAAATACTAATGAAAGGACTAACTACATCAATTCAGTTAAGGCATGTAATAAAATATTTTAATATTAAAAATTTACTTCTAATTACTATAGAAAGAACATTTTAAAATATTTTTGCAGTTTTATATTTGCTTGAAAAACATAAAATTCAGGTTAGAGCTACACAAGAGTGTTCTGAAGACTTCATCAATAGGGAATTGCACTGCTAACACAAACACTGCATCTCTGTGGCAGTTCAGTTCACCAGCAGTTTTGCTGGGGAATGATAGACAATCACCTTGCGTTTAATTAGTCTTGAAAGTCCAATGCAGGTTTATCTGTGGGTTTATTCTGACTCGGTAGCAATGAGAAGGAAAGGGACAGAAAGAAAGACAGAAAGAAGCAGCCAGAGAGAAAGAGAGCACCAAAGAGTTATATAATCTAAAATTTTCCATTTGTGATTTATCACTACTGTGGAAGCTGCTGTGACTCAAATAACAAGATTTTTATGTAAATTTTGTATCTTCAAGGTACTACTGTACTTTAAGTTATATTTATATTTAAAATATGTTCATTGATTTGTTTAAATAAATGATTGATATTTTCATTTAAAATTTTCTAGGTATTAAATTTCAAGGAGGAAGTGATTAAAATCAGCAAACACAGCTTCATGTTACCAACAAAATTAAAAATACTTGGTTTTCTTAATTGCTTATGTATATGTGTCTGACATATTTAATCTACATTTAGTATGTAATACAAGCTGGGTTTGGAAGAGTCCATGACACTAGAGAAATTATTGTCAAAGTCAGATGGATCTTGGCTGAAAGCAGAGAGTACCAGAGGAATGTCTATCTGTGTTTCATTGATTATGCAAAGGCATTTGACTGTGTGGATCACAACAAACTGTGACTAACTTTGAGAAGAATGGGAATCCCAGAACACTTGATTATGCTTACACAAAACCTATACTTGGTCCAGGAGGCGGTAGTCAGAACAGACTAAGGAAACATTGTAGGATGGTTCAAAATTAGGAAGGGAGTATGATGGGGATGCTTCCTGTTTCCATATCTTTTCAATCTGTATGCAGAACAGATCATATGGGAGACTGAACTTTATGAGGAGGAGTATGGCATCAGATTTGGAGGAAGACTCATCAACAAGCTGCATCATGCAGATGATACAACTTTGCTTGCTGAAACTAAGGAGGGCCTGAAGCGCTTGCTACAGAAGGTCAAGGACTGAAGTTTTCAATATACATTAAGGCTCAACATCAAGAAGACACCATGGTAGATGGAGATGATATTGAGATTGTTAACAATTGTAGGCTCCACAGTCAACACTATTCACACCAGTCAGGTAACCAAAAGACGAATTGCACTGGGGAAGTCTGATATCAGGGATTTCTTCAAAGTGCTAGAGCGCAATGATGTCAGTCTAGATACTGGCTTGAAAATGAATAAGGATGACAGAAGAATTGATG